GAAGAGTAGTGCCCGTTAGGCCGGCCTGCAGCAAGGTACTATAGGCCACTGATCTGATTTACGGCCTGCGCCTCAGGCTACGAAATGCCGTGCTGCCTGCCTCAGGGTAGGGCTCCGCTCGGTTCACTACGCCCACCGCCCCCTTCATATCGTGGTCGCGGCCCAAGGCTCTCATAGCCTGCCGTGACCGGCACTTCTATCGCTGCTCTCCGGCAACCCCCGGCCTCCACTCCAACCTGTGTCGTTCTCGGCGGTGGCGCCTACCATCTACGGTGCATGGTCAACCTGGTGCCTACAAACTTTGTACAGGGTGACCCCAAGCCACCGATCTTCCGTAGTCGGGCGGCGTCGTAATCCTACCAAGTCAACACTATGTCGTCCGAGATCTTGTCTGTGCGTGCGAGGTTGCGACCGCCTCAGAGACTCTAGCGTGACACTCACTCAACCTACCGACGTCTCAGGGTCCTCTGAGACCCAGACTTGGTCAGGCTAACGCGTGCCCACGAAGTGCACGCCCACACACTCTCTAATCAATATAATGAGACGCGCCCTCAACTATCATCGGGCGCGCTTTTCCTGTAAGCTGCAAAAATGTGCCCAAATACCCTTGTAAGGGTATTCGTGCCGACAGTTTTCCGGACCTTATTAAGCGACGTCCTCGTCGCGTCGGTCAATCAAGCTATAACCACAAACACATCTTGCTGACAAGGAAGCGACCAATCCGGTTTACCGGCTCCACTCCGCTCGAGGTTGCCTTATCAGCCTGCCCCCGTCACGACGTTCCACTGCCAGGGTTTCAACCTTGGTCTCCCACGTCCTGACCTCGGAGCTAGGGGATACTTTGTTCCGTACTACAGTGTAATACCCGCTCCAGGTAGTAGGTTGATAGTCCTCTCCCTTCGTCGTAGACCTCTGCCGGTTCACCGTTGGGTATCCAGTTTAGTCATCGTCCCACGAACGGGGTCATAACTTAGGACGCGGGCCCTAACTGAGACCTCTCAAAATACAGGGCACCTTTAGCCGCCCACATGGTAGCGTCTACCATCTCAAATCACAAGGAACGCCCAGCCTGGAGTCTAGCACAGGCGGCTTCAGGTCTCCATCTTGGCCCACCATGGATCGGTCAATCACGCCGAATCCACGACCCATCCCGTTGTTATGTAGCGATGGTGCCCTCGTTGGTTACGCAACGATAAGCAATTCTCCCTATCCTGGCACCCCAAAGGGTCCTGACTCTTGACTTAATCGACCCCAATGACTTCCCCTCCAGCTAAACCTCTCCGGGTGGCCGACCTTTCAAGACTTAACCTTCGGCAAGTCATGGTCTCGCTGCCAGGTTGTGTCGGTCAGCGGCCCTCGCTGGGAGTTAGGTTCTACAGTTCCAGCGATGCTAAGTATAGCCCCTTAGCCTGGCCTCACAATACGTCCCTTAGACTGACCCATGTGGTCTGGCACTTCTCTTTCACAACAGTAATCAAAGGATCACATACCACTGCCCACGGGACTACGTGGAGGGGTAGTGCCTTTCCCAACCATTCCAACAAATTCCACAGTAATTCCACAGGGTCGTGCCTTCCTTACTTTGATCAAAAGCAGGTAAGGTCACACGTCTTTTAGGGATACTCACAATGCCTTTCAAAGTTCCAGCATAATTGCCAGAAGTTTTCATCCATTATGCACAAAATATCAGATCTTTCCTCGTCAGACTTTTACATACATACAAACATTATCCTCACTGTAGAAGCTCTTTTGAGTGCTCTCCCAAAATTTCATCCTGTTAAGAAAGTCCAATCGGCCATTGGATTTCCCTCTTCCTTTTTTAATCATACAGAAAACCACACAACTTTCAGTTGTGACCACTCCATTCATCATTATCTGGGCAAAATACATCATGTCATCATTGTCTCCATAATCTGAGAACACTTCCTTCCATTATACTCCCGGCTCCACTTGTCATGGGGACAGGGAGGCGTAAGTACAGTGGAAGAAACGTAGACCAGTTCATTCCACAGTATTCATCTCATCACACCATCATCCATATGGGCAAATCCACAAACTGAGAGCGAGAGTTCTACGACACACACAACAAAAAGATAAGGCTTGATACTCACATGTACACCTAAGACATGGGGCCCCGCACTGTGCAAAGACTCCTGTCCTGATTATAAAACTTAAAATATGATACAAGGAGTTCAGGTATCCCATAAAGAATCAAGGTAGCCAAGCGTCGAAGTATCGGAACTCGACGGCCGCTCCACACTCATGAGCGTTATTCTATAAGAACGTTAACACTCTACATCACATTAGCGAAAAAAAGAAAAAATCGCCAACGTCATACTTAGCGTTATCTTATGCACAGGAAAAGGTTCTCAAGTCTATAACACGGCGTAACATCTAACTACTAGCTCAGTCTACTGATGTACATGGGTTTGATCCAACCCTCCACGTATCTCTCTATATACAAGTAGTCACCAGTCTGTGAGTCAGAGAAGTCCCGCACATGTCAGACTCAGACCTTTCCGGACCTTATTGGAAAATCCTACTCCTGATCACTCATGACCTCCTGCAGCTGCCTATACAACTGCGCCCTCACCCCATCACGAGTCTTAGGAACTAGGTTTCCATCTCTATCTCTCCATACCCCAGATGATTCCCTGGTACACAGTCCATTCACCTCGTCCTTGAGGATCTTGGGGCAGTCATCAGACCGATGTTTGCCCCTTTTGCAATAAAAGCACTTGCCAAGTTTCTTTTGGGACATCTTGTCTCCTTCCAGCGAGGGTACAGATGACGGGGTTGTTGAGATCTTGCTCGTAACCTCCTGCTGTGGGACCTCTGAGGAAGCGGGGCAGGCTGCTCTGTCATCTGCTGGCATCCCCAGCTCCCCAACACGCCCCTCCGACCCTGACCCAGTGGCCCAAGATCCCAGTACATCCCGCAAATTTGTAACAAACGGCACCTCCTAAAACATGGTTGACTCCTGACAGTCCCTCAGGTCCACTTTGTGCTCAGTCCCAACCATGGTCTGGCCCACACTTTCCTGACCATCCTGCTGTCCCACAGTCTCTTTCCGAATAGTAGGTGGAACCTCCCCAGCTTTCATTGCCTCGACTGGTGGTCCCTCCTGTGGTACTGCCGGCTCGTGCCCCAGTGTCAGGCCAGCAGGTAACCTCCACTCAAACTCTCCTACCTCTGCACCCTTTTCCACAAGCACTCCTGGCTGCTCCAACATCTCTTTGTCGATCAGAGGGATCTCCTCACCCTCCTGCTGGTCCGCCATCTCTACTTCCTTCTCCCTCTTAAAGACTTCCTCTGCAGGCTGTTCCCTGATCTCGAACTTCTGGACCTCTGTCCAATCCACCACTCTCGTGGGGGCCTGCTGTGCATACTTGGCTTCGAGGTCTCGAATTTTTTTTTCCCACTCTGTCTCTTTAACCTGGAAGAAGGTCAGTTGTGCACACAAATAGGCCCTCAGAGCGTCAGTGACCTTGTTAAGGGTCTGGTTGACTTGTCTGATGGCCTCATTCTCTGCTGAGACTCTCTCCATGTTCGCCTTTACTGCTGCCAACTCTTTGCCCTGTCTTCCCAGCTCCCTCTTCAGGCCCTCAGCCTCTCTCTCCCAGTCCACCCTCTGGCCATAAGCCTTTTGTGCCACCTTTGTCAGCCTGTCCCCAATCTTCTGATCTGAGGTCCTTGCTGCAGCGAAGCCTTCTCTCATCACGCTCCTCAGGTTGAGCAGGTCTGTAGAGACCAACTTAACCCCCATCTCCTGATGTTGTCCACTTGATCTTCCTGTGGCGTCCATCAGCTTATCGAAGCCCATCCAGACCTCTGAGAGCAGAGGAGGGTCCTCCTCCTGAGTGCAGGTACCCTTTCCTTTTCTGTCCTCCACCTCCTCAGATGCCTTTCGTTGCTGCATCCTCTCATGCAGTTCTGCCAGATTCTTCTTTCGGAGTTGAGACCTGATCTCCAGCTCCCTTGCTGCCCTCTCTTCTCTGTCCAGCCCCTTTTCATCAACAGACGGTTCCTCCCTCAGCTCTTGTGTATGCGGCTCGTGAGGGATGTCTAGCTCTGCGTCAGGCATGGGGCCATCCATCTCCCTCTGAGCGGGTTGTGGAGGTGCATCTGAACCATCGGACCCCTCTGCTCTCTCATGTCGGTGGGACTTGTGTTCCTTCCTCCTTTCCTCCCTCTGAGGCCCTGGTGACGCGCCCTGCTCAAAGGTTCCCCTTGCCTCTGTCTCGGGTTCCCTTCTCCTTTTTTCCACACCTCTCCTCTCACTTGCCTGACGAGCTGGAGTATAATAGTTCCATAGCAGCTTCTTGCAGTGCCCCCAGTTCATGGCAGATGCCACCATGGATCGTACGAAGGGTCTGATATGGTGTCTCACAAACAACAGAAAACTCCCCACTCTGTGCTCTCCTGGGATACAGAGCTCATCCGCATATCGATCATAAGCCCATAAGAACTCCCCCAGATTAGTGGAGTCGAATCGAATGGGCTGTCCATCCCTTCCCAGTGGTGACGGATGCAAACCCTCCATCCTCCGTCCAAAGTCTTGCCAGCTCAGTGACTCTCTGACCAGTTTAGCAATGGGGTCCGCCCACTTGCCTATGCCTCGCACCTCTCTCAGCATCCTGGTGCTGTCACATCCAAACTCTCTCGCATGCCGCTCGAACTCCATTAGGAACAGCTCAATGTTCCCTCCCTGGAAGACTGGAGGCTTGTCCTCTCTCCTGGTCCTCATCTGCGTCCTTTGTCGGGTTGTCCCCAAAGGGGTTTCCACTGGCCCTGCCCCTCCCCTCCCTCTTGGCATGGCTGCCCCAAGCGGTGTCAAGCCTGCACAACAAGAAGGAGACAAGCAAGAGCGTACAGAGGGTAGGCGATGTTAGGCAAAACACAACAGGAGACAGACATAACCCTCCCACAGTTATCCCAACTACCTACCTATCCACACACACACATACATAGCCATACACATATGCAAGTCTAACCACAACCTACCTGCTATTCTACTGAGAGCAGCACCCGAAGTAGCCACTAGATGACTCTAAGTGGTGGGATCCCTGCTCACCTCGTCTCGAGCCACAAACTTCTTTAGCCTCGAGCCTGACACCCAGTCCTTCCATGCCGTCCCATTCAGCTCTTCGGTTTGGTAGGCACCACGTTCACCACATTTGGTGACCCTGTAAGGACCCAACCACCTCTTATCCAACTTCCGCGACCACTGCTTCTCCAGGGACAAGTCATACAACAACACAACGTCTCCCACCTTGAGAGGCTCCTTTCTTACCCTCGCCATCTTGTCCTACCGGAACTTGCCCTTGGTATGGCTGTCCACGGTTCTACTTGCTGCCTCCTCAATCCTGCCCTTAATAGCGCTCATTTGTCGTGCCCTCAAATCCAACAGTTCCTCAAAGGTCAGATCAGTCTCGAGGTCCTGTCGCCTCCAGGTATTCAGGAAGCTTTCAATTGGAAACGCCGCATGCCTGCCGTACCATAGCGTAGCCGGTGCATAGCCAGTGTTCCTCCTGATAGTGATATTATCCACGAAAAACGCGACCCTTATAAAGTTTGGCCATTGGTTAGACCTGCCATCGGTCCACTTGGCAAGAAGATTTGTGATGGTGCTATGCCCCCTCTCCACAGGTGCGTTGGCTTGAGGGTGCGCTGCAGTAGTGTACTCAGCGATTACCCCATACTTCTTCAAAAGAGCCTTCACTTCTGCACATGTGAACTCGGACCCTCTATCCATCACGARTCTGGACACAAAGGGGTAGCGAAGATAGTACTCTTCGATGCATCGGGCCAATGTCTCTCCAGTCTTCGTGCGAATGGCCCTGCCATCCACAAACCCCGAGAGGTTGTCCCGTGCATCAAAGATGAAATTGTAGCTCCCTATCCCCAACGATATTGCCAATAAGTCCAAGTGCACGACTGCTCCAACCTCACGAACGTACCTTGGGTGCAGCGGCTCCCTGGGTCTGAGAGCAGACCGTTCCTGGCATGGCACGCAAGACTTGCAGTAGTTGTCGATCATCTGCCCCATGTCATCCCAGTAGTACAGTTCGTGTATCTTCAGATACGTCGTATCTGCACCCCTGTGGCCACCTGCCGTACCGTCGTGCAGTGCCGCCATAATGTCAATCTGACGGGCGAGGCCGCAAACTACTCTTCTAGGATCTCTTCCTTTACTTCTCATGAACAGATGGCCGTCTCTTACCAGGAAACTTGGCCTCATCTTCAGAACCCGCGCGCAGACATCCCTTTCCCTCATCTTGCACGAAAGAAGCATGTCGAGTTCAAGGTATACTCCCTCGTATTCCTCTGCTCGAAATGCTTCTTTAATCTCACCTTCCTCAAAGTCATCATCCTCCCTCTCGTGGATCACATTGTCACCTCCTCCCGGCTCTACCACCTCTTCCTGATCTAGCACCGTATTTCTGACCGTCTCTTCCTGAAGCAGCGCATTTGCCAGCAGGTACACCCCACCTATCATCTTCTCGTGCTTACCCACTTGTAGCGCCCCGTTCTCAATCGTAAGAGGGTCTTCTTGCAGCTCATACTTGCCAGCTAAGGCCAGCTCCATCATCCAACCTACGCCCGACATTCCCCAAGAATCCTCTTCAATATAAGGTTTGAGGACCAAGTCTGGTCGTCGCACATGTCCTGGAGGCGCAAGCCATATGGGCCGCCCAGGAGTAACATACTTACCTACGGCCAATGCCCAGGAGTTGATGTGAAGTCTCACATCCTCCTCACTGTCCAGGAACTCGTTGAGTGGTGGAGTGTCCTCGATTACTCCTTGATGATTCTTGTCCCAGCCGACTCGGCTAAGCCCGTTTGCCCTATTCTTGGTCCCAGGAATTCGCTCCAACTCGAAGTCAAACATCCAGATGTACGTCAGCCATCTGGCGCTAGTTGGATCTGATGGAGCGAAGTTCTTGAGAGAACCAGCCAGAGTAGTAGCATCCACCCTCAATACGAACCTATTGCCAAAGAGGTAGTTTCTGAAGATCCTCAAACAGTGAAGGACCGCCAAGGTTTCGCGCTTGAACTGAGAGTAGTTCCTTTCAGACGTATTGAGCGTCTGACTCTCAAACCTTAGTGGCCGTTCCTCCCCATTGGAGTCTCGTTGGATTAACACACCTCCCAGAGCAGTTGACCCTGCGTCTGTCTCTACGATGAACGGCCTGGTCATCACCGCCGCATGGTCCGGTACCCCCAGTACTAGACCCCCTTCCTCAAACTCTTTCTTCAGGTTTTTTATCACCGACTCTTGTCTGTCTCCGCATTCCCGGTCTTGCCCTTGACGCACAAGCTTTCGTAACTGCTCCGTCTTTGCCGCAAACCGCTTAATAAAGATCCTCCAAAACCCACACGTGCCCAGAAAACTTCTCACCTCCGTGATAGTCTGGAACGGTGTTGGCCATTCGAGAACCTTGTTAGTCTTCTTAGTATCTGGCCGACGACCCCTCTCGTCGCACACAAATCCTAAGATAGTTGCATCACTCATGCAGTGCCTCGATTTTGGCCCACTGGCAGTGAGGTTATGCTCCTTCAAGAGATCCAGGACCTTGCACAAGTCTCGCACATGATCCCACACAAAGCGCCTGATCCCTGGCACCACCTCCTCCTCGTCCTTCTCTTTGGGCCCTTTCACGGCCAGATCAACAATGTAGGGTTGCGTGACGTGAGGACTTATGGGCTGCATCGCCCTCACCATGTGCCGCTGGACCATAGCGACCGCATTCGTCCACCCCTACGATGCGACGTTCATGTGGATCAGCCCTCGAGGGGTATGCATGGCTGTCATAGGCCGGTCAGACGGGTATACAGGGAGCTGATAGTAGCCTGAATACAAGTCAATGAGGGATATGATGGCCCTCCCAGCGCATGTCTCCGAAAGCGCATCAGTGTTGGGGAGACCCCCTGCGTCCCTCACCGTCACAACATTCAGGCGCTGTCAATCATGTACCCACCTCAGCGTCTCATTGGGTTTGACAAAACAAAACCATGGGGATGCATACGGTCCGCTCGGGTAATCTGCCATATGAGTGCGGATCTTCCCATCAAGGTAGTTGACCACCTTCTCTTCGTCAGCGAGATTAGGATACCGCGCACCTCGCAAGTTCCATGGCTCGTGAGGTACTGTGTGTATCCTAATCATACAGATTATATCCACGTCCAAACGGCCTCTCTCATCATCACTGAAGGCATATGTAGCATGCCTTCCTCTTATGGTCTCTACCACAAGTTTCTCATCCTGCGCAGTAAGGAAACCAGGTTCCCCTACAATTAGCGTTTTTTTTGTCTCGGGATTGATACGGCATGGCCCATTCTCCGCTTTCTCTCGCATTTGCCGTATCAACTCTCGTTCCCGCTCGTAGTAAACCTCTTGCTCTTCGGTGACGAGTACGGGAACAGGGCAACACTTCTGGTCTACCCTTTTGTACCGCCTTTGTGCACCTTGTTTGAGCCCACCCCTAAAAAAGGCCGAATCGTGCTTTGGGGCTGTGCTCCACCCGTTCCACCTACCTTTCCAGGCATCCGATATACCAGTTCTATCTCCCCTGCACCCATTTGCTCCACTACCTTCTCTCTCAAGGCCTCCACAGCCTCGGAGTCCGCTATCCCATAGGTCGATACTATATCCATAGCATCCCCTATGTTTGCCAAGCTCAGCGTCAGCGCCTCTGGCTCTCTTACCTCCTCAAGTCTGCTGCTTTCTATCCTCAACCTTTCTTCTTCCGACTCTTCAATCGTGAATGAACCGGGGTTGGGTCAGTTCCTTACGCTCTTGGATCCTGTTTTCTTGCAGGTGATGACCTCGTAATTCCCACATACGGGGTCACACAGGACGAGGAACATAGTTCCGTCATGTTTATTGAGGATGACCGTCTCGGTCCGACTTAGGAACGACCTACCCAGTAGGATAGGGTGGTCCAAATCAGGCATCACGAAGAAACAACTTTTTACTTTTACCTTCCCAATCTCTAGAATCACAGACGATGCGGTCCCTATGAAGATCAACCGACTGTTTGCTCCCATCAGAACCCCGTTGTCGGAGCGATCTACCTTCATCCCTAGACGCACTGCATCTGCCTCCTTTATGAGGTTCATTTCTGCGTCGCTATCCACCATTGCTGTGCACGTCTTCCCTTTTACCACAACGTCGAGGCAGCCACAGGCGACAGAATTCCAGTCCATCTTAGTACCCGTTTCAACCCACTCCGCCTCCTTAGGGATTATAGTCCCCAATCGTATGTTGGTTACCATCTTCCTGGATAGTCTTGCTCTTAACTCATCCCTAAGTCGAGGCGCTGAGGCTAGTACGTCCTTCAGGTTCATAAGGTGATTATGACCCTCTAGGATCCTGTCCATTATCTCTTCCACATCGAAGCCTTCTTCCACCCTGACAGCGTACTTCTTCTTTTTTACTTATTGTGCCTTGTCTGTATTAGGCTTGGCACCTCTCTTTTTGGCTCGCTGTTCAGCCTTCTCATCCTCCTCTTTCCTCAACCTGTCATCCTCATCATCCTCTTCCTCTGGAATGTTTATAACTTTTATCTCTCCACTTGGTTCAGGAACATCCTTGGCTGGTTCTTCGGGAATCACTGGCCCTTTAGCCCTCATCCTGACGGTGTACGATGCCCTCCCCGTCCTGGAAGGTGGTCTGAAAGTCATTCCTGATCGAGGCGTCGCTCCTGAGGTCGTAACGTTTGGTAGATTCTCGGATCCTCCTTGCGGTCCCGGACCTAGGTCGTAGAGGTATACCGATGGCTCCTTACCTTGCCACTCCTCGACTTCTTCGCACATATCTGCCATCTTTTGTTGGTATCTCCTGACTTTGTCTATCAGATCCTCCATTCTCTCCATTGTCTGTCGGACCATTCTCCAATAGTCTTCCCCTGTCTCAGCACGCAGCGGCCTGTTCCAGCAATCTTCCTCAATCTCATCGTCGGACTCTACTATGATCGGTTCTGCCTTAGTAGTCCCGACTTTCCTTTCTTGCTCCACCTCTGCGTTCTCTCCTACCTCCTCCACCCTGACGTCACTACGGACCTCTTTCTCCTGCCATATCCGAAACATGGCTGGGGGTGCGGGTGGCTCACCGGCCTCAGCCCTTCGCAGGGCTTCCTTCCTCGTCCCGCCTTGAATTTTTAGGTCCAGGTGGTACCCCCACTTGTCGTACATGTCTCCATCATAGTTGGTGCTAATTAAACCTTCGTCCTCGTCGTTTCTCCTTACGTGGCAGAACTTAATAGTGTGGTCTTTCTGCCCACAATGCCAGCAAATGACATTTTTCCAGTCTACTCTCCCTCTGCCAGCACCTCTTCCACCCTCTTGATCGCCTTGACTCCCGGATGCCGTCCAACCCTCGTTTTCGCCACTTGAAGTGTTACCACCACCATTCCCTCTACCATTTCCTCCACGGCCACCATTCCCCCCTCCTCGGCCCCACCTTTGGTTCTGTCCACGTCCACCCCCTTGATTGCCTTGCGAACCTTGTGGGGCTGACTGCTGGGGTTGGTTTGGCGGTGGGTTCAAGTGGCTCACTTGTTGCGCTTGGGGTCCCGGACAGCCACAGGAAGCCACGCTCACTGATGGTCCGGCGCACGACCCATGCGGCCCGCTCATTGGCCACGGGGCGTATGAACAGTGTTCATGCCAATGACTCGAAGGTCCACAACCTGACCATGGCCCATAGTGAGCTAGTGCAGCCTGACTGGGCGACTTAGGAGGTGGCATGGCTACAGCTTGCGGGACCTGCCCCTTTCCTGAGCCCTGCCCCCCTTGAGCCAAGTTCCTTGCCTTTCTCTGAGCCTTGGTCAACTTATATGGCTCTGGCTCCTCTTCCTCTTCCTCTTCTTCTTCCTCCTGCACCACTGCTTTCTTTGCCTTCCCTTGGGTCTGTGGTGCCGCCATAGTTTTCCTTTTTGCCTCTTTCTCTGCATGGAGCTGGGCCACTGCATCTTCTATCAGTTTCTTAAAGTCTCGCCCGCCGCTCGTCGTGGCGTCCAAGGCCTTTCTTTTCTTCCTAGCCTGTCGCATTTGGAAGATGTCTACTTGGTCCAGCTCTCCTTCTATTACGCCCTCCTTTATGGCGGCCCAAGTGAGCTTCTTTCCTGGCGCAGCCTTCTTGGTTAGCGACGAGGCCTCCCAATTCTTGAAGTGCCCCAGGAAAGTGGCACATTGTTCTTCTTCCGCCAATCCGGGGACTTTCTTGGCCATCTTCTCAAATGCCGTTGCGAAAGCTCCCACCATGGAGAACTCATCCCGCTTTAACATCTCCAAATCTGTCTTCGTTAACAAATCATCTCCTAACTTGAACCGCCTCTGCATTTCTGCCTTGAACTTAGCCCAGTCTCCTCCTGCTCCAGCAGCCACCTTCATTACCTCGGGCCGAGTTTCCCACCAGACGTACCTGGGTAGGAACTTAAATTTATCTGCCTCAGGCACCTCGGCCGTAACCTGCTCCAGCAGCTCCAGCCACTCGGATACTCTGTCCCCATTAAAATGGAAGATGTTAACTTTCGGCACTTGAAGTCGTGCCAACTCCCTTTTCTCGAGTGCCTTGACGAAATCCTCTGGCGAAGCGGCCGGACCACGCTCGATTTCATCAGCGTCCGGCATTTTCACCTCTTTTTGCTAACCAACCTGACAGGAGTAACAAAGGATAGATCGGTAAGCAGTTCGTCAAATTTAGAGGGTCTGCCCTACGTCCTTCTTGACCATTCCACCCTTAAGTTTAGCTACCCGCTCCACCATTAATCATTCGCGCCCTTTATACAACCTTTAATCGCATACCATATCACTCAGTCTTATTATGACATCATATAGAACCCTCCTATAACTTTTTGTCGTTTTGCTTAGATCATCAGCCTGCACTTAACCTGGGTTCGTTCTCTAAAGGACCCCGGTAGGCAGCTGAGATCCCCGGCAACGGCGCCACCTGTCGAGCGCATCGGTCCCGCACGGGGACCCTCCCGGCAGCGTCACGCAGGATTATGCAGGACTTGTCGCGGAGAGCGTTTGCCGCTCCGGCCGAGTTCGCCAGCCGTACCTCTCGCAAGTCCCTACGACAGGACAGAGTCACGCGAGGCACCGCTACCTCCACCTGTGGGAGCTGTCACCATCCCTTAGGTGGGCGTATCCCTGCCGAGCTACTGAACCACATGCGAAAGTTTTTCATATGCAATTGCAGAGGCGGCCCAGCCGAGGGCGTTTCTCGTTCGCTGTAGCATAGGGGTAACGCGCGGTCGAACGCCCGAAATCGAACCCGTACGCGAGTCGTCGTACTGGGGGGCTGAAGTCCCAGACGCAACTCGATGTCGGTCGACTAGGACGCACTACATACCCACGCGTTACACCACAATACTCACGCTTACTCACCCATAACACTTGGAACCCCACGYGAAACAAACACCACAAACAACGCCACAACACAACAACTCCTAGTCCCTTCAGTATCTGACCCATAACTCCTAGTACGAGGATCGGCGAGTGCGGCGCACGAGGRTTTAGTATAAGAGCGCGCGGACGCAGTACCCACACATACCCATTCACTATGCGGCTCTATGTGAGTACCTCTAGTGACGGCACATTATGTGGTGCCCATACCCAAATGGCCTCTTCGGCGCCATGGGGTTACTTCCGAYGCTCAGGCGTTGGCTGAAGCGAGCTCTAAGGGGATGTAACCCTTTAGTGGGCACAAAACCGGCCTGAGGGCCTTTCCGTCTTCTGCACCCTGAGGTGCCCCAAAGGGTGCGGGGTAAGACGGCCCCTAGGGCAGGAAGGAATTTGGAGCRRKGGTGAGTTGTCTAGCSSGTCACCAGCGTCCCRCTAACCCCTCCACCCRGAACTTTATCGTTCCACCAAAATAAACCCTAGGAAGGAAAGGATACAAAMACTCTCAATATTATCAGAGAGGGCATCGTCGGGATTAACCRTGTAGGGGTTACCCRAATGCTTACTTGGATTATCACCTCAGCAGAACGGGGGTAGCACAATCTCACTCRAACACAAAGGTTGTGGGGTAGTTCACTCTCACGACAGTTGTGTGGTCTGCCCATCTGAATCCACGCAATACCACTCAACATGAATCCATCGAGACTCTTCCATACATAACTACAATCACACCACGATATCAGACAAAGATTCACATGCTACACGGAGTCAACTCCAACCATCCTCCCCACTCATACCCCTTGCTTTAGCCATGCAAGCCCTAACCTCCTACCAACCAACCATAATTAAGTACACAGTACTTCTCTTAAATGGCCATTCAATAAAAGTCTGGGTGAAACCTTAACAAAACAGATAAACTCACCGGGGCTGAAGCCTTTTAGGTTGAGTCTCGAGGGTGTATTGGGGTTGAGTCGTAGACCGACGGATCGRCAACCGACCTGTTATCAGCGATAACAGAAGAGTAATCCTTTTGACGAACTAGCTTGATTAGATCAAGCCTTCAGATGATAAGACGGAAACCTGCATCACAGTACAGGCSAAAGGAAAGTACTACTTATACCTGTGCCAAGGGGAGAACATTCCTCTAGTCGCCTCCTAACTCCTMTACTAGTACCAAGTTACTGAGTATCTCCTCTAATCAGGCTGGATCTGTKAGGTAMCTCCCAACTGCAAGATATTCTAACTCCCTAAATTCTACGAAATTTCGGCAGCGCTTCYCGTAGGAAAAGTGCCTTCTYAGAAATCCTATGAGMCCAAAAATGACTAACTCTTCCAGMTTCGTRGAAATTTCSGCAGCGCTTCCCGTAGGAACAGGAGACTGYCAAGATTTATACGAAGCTGAAAAGGMAGAAARACAAAGCAACTATACTTGGGACTAACTTCTGACACCTGCTTGATGATCCARACTCATTGACAGCCAACACGGCCTCTAGATGAGACCGTGGGCTAGCRTTGGGCCTAACCCCTAGCAGGGTCAGTCCTATCCTCATCCCAAGTTTTCCYTCCCAACATCCATCTGACCTACCTATGGCTCCAGCACTTGGCGAGCATCTAAAGCAACTAACCTATCGAAAARACACCCCAAGTGAGACCCTACAATCATACATGAGCATGCATCTSTCACAATCCCACATACATTTGCCCAGGTAGTTCGTTWGATCACTCAGTCGTTCCCTTTCAATAACCCCCTCACTTATGRCATRGTATCAGACAAAGCCCTAACTTAAGKGTATGTCCAACCTGCCTAAGTAAACAAGTAAAGGTACGCACAACTGGACTGCCCTAACTTAAGGGTATGCCCAACTCCAGATAAACTCTAGTCATAGAGCATATGACCAGACCGCCCTAACTTAAGGGTACGCCTGGCTTCTGCTTCAACTGACGACATGAAGCGTAAAGCTAGACTGCCCTAACTTAAGGGTGTACCTAGCCGGCTTTATACAAAGTTACATAGGACATAGGATTAGGCTGCCCCAACTTAGGGGTGTGCCTAACCTGCCTAGAACAAGCACGAACGACGAATGGTCAGACCGCC